TTCCTTGTTGTTCTTCCTTCACCCTGTTTTGAAATGGCTACTTTATCTTCCCTTTTCGCTGCATACACGATGCATATTGTCCCACCTCAGTACATTTTTTAAAATAATTTCATTAGCATTTTTTTAAAAAAAGACAAAACCAGCACAAGATAATGAGGAAAATAAAACAAAGAGAAACAAATCAAGGAGAAAGCTAAAAATGCAAAAGAAATAGATCTTAGCATTCTGAAGAGGTGGGCCAGCTGCTTGCAACATCTGTTTGCCTCTTTTCTCTTCCCTCTCCCCCTTTAGAAAGGCCACAATTACTTTTTGTTATAAAGGAATTAAAGCAAATACTTGCCTAATCATCAAATCATTGAAATCCTGTTAAAACAGTGTTTCTCAAACTTGACCAGCTTAATCAGGATGGACTTCAACTCCCAGAATTCCCCAGCCAGTATGGGGAAAAGGAAAAAAGGGAGAGAGGAAATATCCAAAAACATTGCCCATATTCTTTCCAATAATGCCATGGGGTTAACTTTGCACTTCCTTCCCTCCCCAAAATATGTTTAAAAGGACTCTTCTACCCTCAAGAGTATATAGTCAAGGCCATGGTTTTCCCAGTTGCAATGTATGGCTGTGAAAGTTGGACCATAAGAAAGGCTGAGCGCCAAAGAATGGAGGCTTTTGAACTATAGTGCTGGAGAAGACTCCTGTGAGTCCCCTGGACTGCAAGGCGATCAAACCGGTCAGTCCTAGAGGAGATCAACCCCGACTGCTCTTTAGAAGGCCAGATCCTGAAGTTGAAACTCAAATACTTTGGCCACCTAATGAGAAGGAAGGACTCCCTGGAGAAGAGCCTAATGCTGGGAAAGATGGAGGGCAACAGAAGAAGGGGACAACAAGAATGAGGTGGCTGGATGGAGTCACTGAAGCAGGAGGCATGAGCTTAAATGAACTCCAGAAGATGGTAGAGGACAGGAAGGCCTGGAGGAACGTTGCCCATGGGGTCGCGATGGGTCGGACACGACTTCGCAACTAACAACAACACCCTCAAGAGTATCTTTTTAGAGATAGGACTGGACAGATATGCATAATAAGCAAGTAAAGCCTAAGACTGAAGTAAGGTTATAACATGGGAAATGAAGAAGTTTTACTCTCTAATTAGTTGTGACTGCTGAAAAAAGCCTCTAAGGCAGCAAAGCTGGCTGGGGAATTCTGGGAGTTGAAGTCCACACATCCTCAAGCAGCCAAGGTTGAGAAACACTGCTCTAAGGGAAGGGAATGAAAGATGTGGTGCCGAAGCTGATTGTGACTTGAACCCTCAAAAAAAGTTGAACAGTTTTCTCCTGCTTGTATAATTATTCTATCTGCCAGGAACGTGATTTTTAGGAAGGGATGTTTAGATTTTAGGGGAGTCCTCTATGTGTGTGGGGATGGGTGGGTGGGTGTAGAAGTTACGATGGTGACCATAAATGTTTGAACACAGCCACAGTGGAAGCCTCTTCCTTTTTAAAAATCTGTGTTGCAACATTGCCTGGTTATGGCTACTGTTAACTGGCCTCCCTCCCCACAGATTCTTGTGAAATTATACTACAGACTCCGGATGCCTTCCTCTATTCTCTATTGCTCTATTCTCAAGAAAGAAAAAAAAAGGAAGGAAGGGAAAGAAAAAGAAAGAGAGAGAGAGAGAGAGAGAGAGAGAGAGAGACAGAGAGAGAGAGAGAGAGACAGAGAGACAGAGAGACAGAGAGAAAGAAAGAGAAAGAAAGAAAGAAAGAAAGAAAGAAAGAAAGAAAGAAAGAAAGAAAGAAAGAAAGAAAGAAAGAAAGAAAGAAAGAAAGAAAGAAACCATCCTTTCTTTCTTGGGCCTTCTAGATCCAGAAAGCTTCATCCAGCTCTTTCTATGAATTGATAGATTCACACAACACCCTTAACAAAGCCCAATAACAGATGAGTAGTTCGTTTCATTTATTCCTGCATCGGTTGAGGCACCACAAACCCACCCCTCTCTCATGCACTGATTTCAGCTGATTTCCTTAGAGGAGAGCAATGTTATTTATTTGTATCCCACCTTTATTATTTTTACAAATAACTCAGGGCAGTAAACATATTCAACACAACTTCCTCCTCCTATTTTCCTTGCAACAACAGCCCTGTGGGGTGGGCTGAGAGAGAGGGAGCTTTCAGTCTAAATCTGGCAGGGCTTTTCCAACAGAGCAACTGGTTTTATTTACTACACAGGGCACAAAAGAGAAAGGGAAGTGAAAGAGAAACAGTTTTGTCTTGGTTGGAAATGTAATTGTCTGTCCCAACTTGGCAATGTGCAGAGGGGTTTATAACAATAATAATAAAGTTGGAGGAGACCTTGGAGGTCATCTAGTCCAACCCCCTGCTCAGGCAGGAAACCCTATACCATTTCAGACAAATGGCTATCCAGTCTCTTCTTAAAAACTTCCAGTGTTGGAGCATTCACCGCTTCTGGAGGCAGGTTGTTCCACTGGTTAATTGTTCTCACTGTCAGGAAATTTCTCCTTAGTTCTAGGTTGCTTCTCTCCTTGATCAGTTTCCATCCATTGCTTCTTGTCCTGTCTTCAGGTGCCTTGGAGAATAGCTTGACTCCCTCTTCTTTGTGGTAGCCCCTGAGATACTGGAACACTGCTATCACGTCCCCCCTCGTCCTTCTCTTCGTTAAACTAGACATACCTAATTCCAGCCACCGTTCCTTGTACGTTTTAGCCTCCAGTCCCCTGATTTATTTATTTATTTATTTATTATTTGAATTTATACCCCGCCCTTCTCCTTGCGGACTCAGGGCGGCTGACAGCCTGATAAAAACAACTACAAAAATACCCCGAAAACTATCATTAAAACAAAGTTAAGATGAAATATTAAATTTGGCCTTACTAATTTTTAAAATTGCTTTTAAAACCCCACTAAAAATTTCCCCTTAGGCCAGTCCTGCTTGTTGGAAGAGCCATGTCTTTGTTGCTCTTCTCTGTACTCTTTCTAGAGTCTCAACATCTTTTTTTACATCGTGGTGACCAAAACTGGATGCAGTATCCCAAATGTGGCCTTACCAAGGCATTGTAAAGTGGTATTAATACTTCATGTTTAATTATAACTCTCACCATCCCAACCTTACAAGGGGGTTGTGGAAGGCTGACATCCAGCAGTTTGGACATCAAATCAGTTAAATTGGAATGAAAGGTGTTTGCTTAAAAAGAAAACAGCCTCGGCTACAAACTTTCTCCATTTGATACTCACAAGATATTGGTGGAAGGTGTGTGTGTGTGTGTGTGTGTGTGTGTGTGTGTGTGTGTGTGTGTGTGTGTCTGAGGCAGGGGTAGGCAACCTTAGCTCTTTTATGACTTGTGGACTTCAACTCCCAGAATTCCTGAGCCAGCATGCCTCAGCTTTGAAACTCTCCCTTTCCCCTCAGCGTGGAATTCTGGGAGTGGAAGTCCACAAGTCATAAAAAGAGCCAAGGTGGCCTACCCCTGGTCTTGGGAGAAGATTATAATATCCAGGATTCTCTGGCAGTAGGAGCAACAACTTTGCTCTCTACGAAATTTGGGAGTTGTAGTCCCAAAGATCGGGAGGACACAAATCTGTTTGGGCATTTGTGAATGGCCAGAATTAACCACGATAAAGATCTGTGCACTTTAAATAATTATGCCCTTACACGTAATTTTGCATTCCATTTTATTTAAGCATTTTTCAACTACATTTCACACTAATAAACCAAGTTGGAGAATTGGAAGAAACAATTCATACCAAATTCCATAAAAACTATCAATAATGTCCTGTTATCCCCACCTTGGGTAAAAAAAAACCCTCACATATTACAACACAACAGTCATTGGAGTGCCATAAAACAGTGTGAGAGGAGAACAGAAGCTATATGAGACATGTCTCTTTCAAAATTAGGGAAAATAATAACAAAATGGTGTAATCAAACTATTAGGCTTTCATAACTAAGTAAAGCAGAGTAAGGGAGCTGTAACATGGCTGGTTAGGATGTTGCAGTTTATGGGAGAAAAAAAACTATATCTCAGGCAGCTAAATATATCATTTAAACTGTAGGTAAATGCAATGAATCAATGAAAGGAGATCCATGTTTGTTAATGATTCATCAGCAAGAGGGTTTTTGCAAAGCAAGCACAGAAAAATTAAATTGTAACCGCTGTTCCCATTGGAGAGATTCAGAACTAAGAGGACACTGATCTATTCTAATTCATTATTTACCTGCAGGAATAACCAAGAATATCAAATTTCTAATATCCAGAACTTTGATGTATTAATCCTATAAGAAATGTTATTTGAGCTGGTACAGGGTCGGCTCAAATAACACTGGATCTGAACTGGCTCCCATTGGATTCAGTCATGGGGGGCTAATGGAATAAAATGAGACTGCATATCTGAATCTGGGATTCATACTTGCAGTTAGAAGCAGGTATATACACACAGATGCTGCTGTGTGTATGTGTAAATAGATAGATAGAGGTATAGATAGATAGATAGATAGATAGATAGATAGATAGATAGATAGATAGATAGATAGATAGATAGATAGAGAGATAGAGAGATAGAGAGATATATATAGATATAGAGATAGATAGATAGATAGATAGATAGATAGATAGATAGATAGATAGATAGATGGATGGATGGATGGATGGATGGATGGATGGATGGATGGATGGATGGATGGATGGATAGATAGATGATAGATAGATAGATAGATAGATAGATAGATAGATAGATAGATAGATAGATAGATAGAGAGAGAGAGAGAGACAGAGACAGAGACACACATACGCACACACACAAACACACACACAAACGCACGCACACAACAGTACCCGGAGGAATCAACCAGATTCAATTCACTCTAGCTTTGGACTGAGACAAAGAAGGCAGTTGGGATGTGTAGAGAATAGATTTTTGAAAGAACATCCTGAGCATTGCCTGTGTCTTCTCAAGCCAACAGGTTTTGGAATGGGGTGGTTTTGCAGAGTTCATAACTGGGATTCCAGCTCGGCTGAAGATCTGGTTTTGTTGGTTGTGGAGGTCTGCCTGACCTCTTCTGTGAAGGCATTCTCAATTGCAGATAGGAAGGACTTTCTCAGGCTGTCTTTGAAGCCCTGAGTCATAAAGACGTAGAAGATGGGATTGAGGCAGCTGTTGATAAAAGCCAAGAAAGATGCTAGGGGAACACCGATATTCACTGCCAACAACATGTCTAGATGTGATGAATATTTCAGGTTAATGAAAGAAAAAACATGATAAGGGAACCAGCATACAAAAAAGGCCACAAGCACAGCTGTGATGATCTTATAGGGCTTACTTGACTGAAACAATTGACCCCTTCTCAGTTTCAGAACAATCGTTCCGTAGCAGAGAAGAATAACTACAAAGGGAATGACGAAGGTAAGGACGAAGTTGCTGATGGCCAGTTTAATATCTATGCTGTTACCATAATCGTTATAGCAGCTGATCACTATGTTATTTGCATCTTTTATGGGTTCCCCGGAATAGAGAGGGGGAGAAGACAACACAAAGGCCAGGATCCACACACCCAAGGCCACAAAAGAAGCCAGACGAGGTGTTCGGTGATTCTGAACCCAGACCGGATACCTGACAAAAATGCAGCGGTCAATGCTGATGACCATAAGGAAATAAACACTGGCATAGAGGTTGAGGAAGATGAGGGTTCTGTTCATCTTGCACAAGAACTGGTTGATGTACCACTTGAAGTAAAGAGCAACACGGACAAAAATCAGGGAAAAGATGAAGATGAAGTCAGCAATGGCCAAGTTGAGGAACCAGACCGTGTTGACCGTCTTCTTCATATGAAAGCCAGTGATGAAGATGACCAGCCCGTTGCCAAGGACTCCCAGCACAAACGCAAAGCTGTAGATCACCAGAGAAGCAATCTGCATCCTTTTCTGCAATGTAGTTATCTTTTCAAGGAATGCAATGAAATTTTCAATTTCAGAGTTTTCAGTTGTGTTGCTCATTTCCTCTGACCAAGCCAGTCCTTCACTGGTGACTTCTCCCTTAGAAGCAAAAACATGAAACACAAGAGTTGGAGCAGGTTACCTTGTAACTGTAGCCCAGCTTAATAGTTTGGAGATCAAAAGGTCACAAACTGGGAAAGGGATATTTCCTTCCTTAGTTCAAGAGAGAATCAGGTGTTTTTGGTTCAAATGCAAGGACTTCCTCGGTGGACCCGATCAATATTTCTATATGCAGAAATATTTTTCTCATTTAAACTAGGGCTCCAATTTTTACACTGGTTGAAGTTGACTACAAACCAGAATCCTTTCTGGCTTAAAAACTGGTTTGGAGCGAATGGGAGAGGGGCACCTCACTTATTTACTTCAACTGAAGGAAGAATTCCTGCTTATGAGTTTTTTTTTATTTTCAGAAAAAGACAGGAAAATGAGACCTGGGCAGCTAAAACCGATGCTAAAAGGAAGGAACTGAAAACTGGAGGATGAACTGAGCTTTAGAGAAGCTGGTGAGAAAATCCAGAAATCTAACCAAAAGGAAAAAAAAAAAAGATTGGTGGTGAAATAGAAATCATTAAAATGCATCAAAGACCACTTTCAACTTCTCTTCTTTAGTGTTTGAACGGTGGTCAGATCTTCGCTAAACTCCACGCTGGGATACAGTGAAGACTTGCAGGAAGAAAAAGAAAAGACACAGACTAACAATGATGAACCTGGGTTGTTCCTGCATTGAATTTTTTGCTCTGCCTCTCTGCCCTGCCTCTCAAAGATGCTGGATTCCTTTCTGCTTCTCAGAATCTTTGCCTTCAAGTGGTAGAATTTGCTGGTGTCCTTCTAGAAGAAACCACACAGGAGTTTTCCAGCTGCATTGGCTAAATCTTCATCAGCAAATAATCTGTGGATAGCAAGGAAAATTGTACTTACCTTAGAACAATCAGAAGACCTTTTGGTGTGTGTTTCCTCCGACTCCTGTTGTAGTATATGGCGGGATTCTGCTGAAAGGGGCTGAGGTAAGATCAAAAACCCTGAATACGTAATCAGAGAGGAACCAGTAGAGATTATATGGGAAGTGTGCAGCCTTAAAGTTTCTTCACTTTAACCTCAGTTTTAATCTGTACTCCCCACCCTTCAGAGGTTTTTACCTGTCAATCTCAGATTCCGCTGATGGCCCCTTTCCCATCTTAACATGTCCAGGGATGGAAATGGTACACTTTAAAAACATGTACTGTATTTGACTCATATTGCACTAGTTAAAAAGCAAAGGCATGATGCGAAACGAAAGAACGAAACATGTTTAGTGCAGTAATGATGCATCTGTGACATGTGTGTCAAAAGGTGGCACACCGCAATGTTTTGGCTGACACACCAGCGTTCACCAATGCCTGACAACCATTCTCGAAAGCACACCTGTTCGTGCATGATTTTTGAAGGTTGTGGAAGCTGAGTGAGAATGGTGTGTGCTCTCATGAGACCTCCAGGCCAGCCAAAAGTTATGGGAGAATGGGGTCTGCTCTCCTTCATGGATTACTGCCTTGTGGTGGCGAAGGGGCTTGCGTAACTCAGTGAAGCTATGAGCTATGCCGTGCAGGGCCACCCAAGATGGACAGGTCATAGCAGAGAGTTCTGACAAAATGTGATCCACTGGAGAAGGAAATGGCAACCCACTCCAGTATCTTTGCCATGAAAACCCCATGGACAGTACCAAAAGGCAAAAAGATATGATGCTGGAAGATGAGCCCCTCAGATCGGAAGGTGTCCAATATGCTACTGGGGAAGAGCAGAGGGCTAGTACTAGTAGTGCCAGAAAGCGTGAAGCGACTGGGCCAAAGCCGAGAGGACGCTCAGCTGTGGATGCATCTAGTGGTGAAAGGAAAGTCCAATGCTGTAAAGATCTTTTCTCCATAGAATGAGGTGGCTGGATGGATGGAGTCACTGAAGCAGTAGGTGTGAGCTTAAATGGACTCCAGAAGATGGTAGAGGACAGGAAGGTCTGGAGGAACGTTGTCCATGGGGTCGCGATGGGTCGGACATGACTTTGCAACTAACAACAACAAGGGCCCTGCTCTTTCATGGTTTCCAGAGGCTGCCGGAGAGCATCCTCCAAAGCCACTTCAAGAACGAAGACCTCATGCAACCCTGAGTAGCCTTGGGGAGGTGGCAGGGACCTGTCAGCAGAAAGAGAAGTCACCTGGAAGTATGAGGCATGCAGCAGATCCTGAAGCTACTTTGGATAATGAAACATCTGCAAGGAAACAACCAAGCTCAGAGAGTACCAAGGACCCCCTCATTTTCAACCCTGAACTACTAAAGGTAATCCTTGACTTACAACAGTTCATTTAGTGAGCGTCCCAAGTTACAACGGCACTGAAAAAAAGTGATGGATGACCATTTTTCATACTTATGATCATTGCCGCATCCCCAGGATCACGTAATTTACATTCGGATGCTTGACAACTGATTCGTATTTATGACGGTTGCAGTGTCCTGGGGTCATGTGATCCCCTTTTGTGACCTTCTGCAAAGTCACATCAGGATGGCTCCTTTAGCAATGAGCAAGTAAGGAGTGAGACCGAAGTAAGGCTGTCACATGGGAAGAGAAGAACCAGTTGAGAACTAACCAGTTGAGATTCCTGAAAAAACCCACTAAGGGAAGGGAATGAAAGAAGTCGTGCCAAAGCTAATTTTGAGTTGAAACCTCCCCAAAAAAAGTTTCAGTACATTTTTCTCCTACTTGGATAATTCCTCTCCTCTGCCAGTAAGGTGATTTTGGCAGGGAGTCCCTAGTATCTCTGTGTGTGAAAAAAATTACGACAATGTCCCCAAGTGTTCGAACACAACCACAGGTAAAGCCACAAGTGTTTTGAACACAGCTACAGTTGAAGCCTCTTCCTTTTTTTAAAAAAATACTGTTTTGTAATATTGTTTGGTTATGCCTATTATTTAGAAGAGTATTAACCTCCCTCCCTCCCTCCCCACAGGTTCTTGTGAAGTTGTACTACATCTTCCTGATACCTTCCTCTATTTTGTATTGCTCTATTCTCAAGAAAGAAAAAAAAAAAGGAAGGAAGGAAGGAAGGAAGAAAACCATCCCTTCTTCCTTGAATCTTCTGGATCCAGAAAGCTTAATCCTTAATCCAGTGCTTTTTACTGAATTGATCAATACACAACATCCTTAACTAAGCCCATTAAAAGATGAGTAATGTATTTTGTTTATTCCTGCATCGGTTGAGGCACCATAAACCCACCCCTTTCGCATGCACTGATTTCAGCCGATTTCCTTAGTGGAGAGCAATGCTATTTATTTGTATCCCACCTTTATTATTTTTACAAATAGCTCAGGGCAGTAAACATATTCAACACAACTTCCTCCTCCTGGTTTTATTTACTACAGAGGGCACAAAAAGAGAAAGAGAAGTGAAAGAGAAACAGTTTTGTCTTGGTTGGAAATGTAATTGTCTGTCCCAACTTGGCAATGTGCAGAAGGGTTATTATTATTATTATTATTATTATTATTATTATTATTATTATTAATAATAATAATAATAATAATAATAATAATAATAATAATAATAATAATAATAATAATAATAATAATAATAATAATAATAATAATAATAATAATAATAATAATAGAGTTGGAAGGGACCTTGGAAGTCTTCTAGTCCAACCCCCTGCTCAGGCAGGAAACCCTATTCCATTTCAGACAAATGTCTGTCCAGTCTCTTCTTAAAAACTTCCAGTGTTGGAGCATTCACCACTTCTGGAGGCAGGTTGTTCCACTGGTTAATTGTTCTAACTGTCAGGAAATTTCTCTTTAGTTCTAGGTTGCTTCTCTCCTTGATTAGTTTCCATCCGTTGCTTCTTGTCCTGCCGTCAAGGGATTTGGAAAATAGCTTGACTCCCTCTTCTTTGGGGCAACCCCTGAGATATTGAAACACTGCTATCATGTCCCCTCTTGTCCTTCTCTTCATTAAACTAGACATACCCAATTCCAGCAACCGTTCCTTATATGTTTTAGTCTCCAGTCCCCTAATCATCTTTGTTGCTCTTCTCTGTACTCTTTCTAGAGTTTCAACATCTTTTTTACATCGTGGTGACGATCGTGTAATTCTTCAATTACATTTCATGCTATTTAACCAGGTTAGAGAATCAAACGGGAACAATTCGTACCAACATCCATAAAAGCTAGCAATAATAAACAAATGTCCCATCATCTCCACTCTGGAAAAAAACCACACATATTAAAACACAGCAGCCATGGCAGTTCCATAAAATATAAAGTAACAGTGGTACAGAAGTGGTATCATTAAGATGAGACATATCTCTGTTTCAATATGAGAGAAAATAATAATAAAATAGAATCGGAAGGAACAATTCATACCAAATTCCATTAAAACTAGCACACGCTGGGTAAAAACCTCACATATTAAAACACAACAGCCATTGCGTTCCATAAAACAATGTTAGAGGAGAACAGAAGCTATATTATCTAGATGAGACATATCTCTTTCAATATGAGGGGAAGTAATAATATGATGTAATCAAACTATCATGCTTTCATAACTGAGGAAAGCAGAGCACCCCCTGGGGTGCGAGACAATATTCCAGGGGGTGCGAAAACTTGGGGTTTTCAAAATTATAGTCTATATGCATAATTTGTTGCCGTTATTTCAAACTTTTGTAAGGGGTGCGAGAACATATCAGAAGCGTTCTAGGGGTGCGGGGTATAGAAAAGGTTGGGAACCACTGATTTAAACTGTAGGTAAGAGGAAATGCAATGAATCAATGAAAAGAGATCCATGTTTGTTAATGATTCATCAGCAAGAGGGCTTTTGCAAAGCAAGCAAAGAAAAATCAAATTGTAACCGCTGTTCCCATTGGAGAGATTGAGAACTAAGAGGACAGTGATCTATTCTATTTCATTAGTC